CCGTGGCGGAGGTCTGTGGAGTGCAGCAGATTGCTGGGCGCCGGGCTGTATTGAAGTTTGGCTCAGCGGTTGTGTACCAGGATGTTTTGAAGAAGTATGATGGGCAGAAGCACCCTGATGGTGGCCGAAGCGTGTGACGGTGTCCGATCGTTGTGGTGAGAATACTTACGTTGCGATGTATGGGGTGCCGTTTGAGTTTCCTGACGATCTCCTACGTCGGCACTTTTCCAGATTTGGGCGGGTGCAGTGTCCGTCGGAACGTCATCTCTTCTGGTAGATGGACGAGTGTGCCGGGTGGAACCCCGTACGCTGGCCATGCGCCTCACGACCCCTGTGCCGTCGTCGGTTATACTGTTGTGTTTCACTGTCCGTGTGTTCTACGCGGGCCAACCCCGGACTCGTTTCCGGCCTATCAGGTCACCAGGCTGATCATCAGTTTGACTCCCTGTTGTGGTGTGGCCTGGGCGGACGTGAAGAATTAGAGGAACTCTGAGGATTCTTCTGCTCACGACGTTGGTGTGCTGGGGGCTGTTGCGAGCCCAGCCGCCGAGGAAATGGGGTGCCTGGTGGTGGCGAGGCGGTGGCAGTGGCGGACGTGGGTGCTGCAGTGGTGCCTGCTGGTGTGGGGGCTTCTGTGCTGCTGCCGTTTGCCGTACTGTGCCAACAATTGTGGGCTCACCGGAGTGGGAGACTGTTGCCTTTAGTGTCGGTTGCTGAGAACAAGGACTTTGTTATAGTGCGTCGGAAGGATGCTGGCTCGCAGGCCGTTGTCAAGTCAGGCTCTGTGCGGCGGCGTTCTGTGTCTGACTATCCTATGTAACCGCGTCCAGATGCGTCGCCCCTCTGTCGTGAATGGGGTTCCTCCGTCTCAGGGTGATTGAGATAAATGGCGGCGGTATTGTTGGAAGTATCCTCGGGAGGACTATCCTGCTATGTATCATCTGTCTGATTCGGAGTGACCTGTACCCAATGTTGGTGTAACTGTTTCTATGCTATGCTGTGCTGTACTAATATTTTGCTATGGCGCTTTGGTGCCTGTGTGTGGCCTCGGGCTGCGCTGTATGTACTCTGTATTTTTCGGTCGATTACCTTGTACTTCTGTGTACCGGCTGTATTTCGGTCTGTTTTCTTTTGGGGTGTGTGTTACGAATCCATATATTTGATTCTAACGATTATCATGATAAATATGTATGTCCATTATTTCTTTCCTCAGTTATTTAAATAAAACATTGTATCCAGTTGTGTTCCAGTATATATATGTTTGATTTAAATGTAGCATGCTGTAGTGTGTCTGTATTTAATATTTTGTTAATGCTATTGCATGTTCATTCCAGTGGGGGGAGACCGTGGCGTCTCATGGGGGGATGACCGTATTTGGGATGTTCCAGTATGCATGCAGTGTATCAAGCTAGCGTCACTGATTCACCCCTGTAATTATTCCTGTTTATTGATTGTACTTAATTTCTTATTTACACCTTAGTAGTGTTATATACATATAAGTTTAGTTATAATTATGTTCTTAAATATTACTCTCTGATAGAGTATTTGGAGATTTCATGTAGGTTTTAGTTGGTAACTTGTAGACCCCATGTTGTGCATGCTCCAGCAACGCCAGTCGCGTGGGTGGAGCTGGCTGGGGTGGACATGTTAGGAGATCTGTGGTACCGGTTTATTGTTTAGTAACATAGCTAATTTACTGGTTAGTTCATTATGTGCACACCCATCTATCCATTTAAGTTGTAAAGTAGTGATCAGTGCTTATATAATGATATTGAGTTACTGTATTTTGGTGCATTAATATTTATGGCTGCTGGTATTTCCATTTATATGTTTGTATGTTCTTTGTTACCCTTACTTTAAGTATATTGCTTTGTTGAGTAAGCAGTGGAGTTATTTACCCTAGAAACTTTTAGTAAACAAGGCCGTATTATATATTTTTTTAACAACTGCAACAGAGGAACCATACCCAGAGGTCAAGGGTCATAACAGTGTGCTCGCGCAGATGTGTTGTGTGCATATGTCTTTCCTGTTGGTGTGTGTGTGTGTGTGTGTGTATTGTGGTTGAGCTTTGCTCTTTCGGCCCGCCTCTCAACTGTCAATCAACTGTTTACTACTTTTTTTCCACACCACACACACACCCCAGGAAGCAGCCCGTGACAGCGGACTAACTCCCAGGTACCTATTTACTGCTAGGTAACAGGGGCATTCAGGGTGAAAGAAACTGCCCATTTGTTTCTGCCTCGTGCGGGAATCCAACCCGCGCCACAGAATTACGAGTCCTGCGCGCTATCCACCAGGCTACGAGGCCCCATGTGCGCTGTCTATGTGTGTGGGGGGGGGGTGTTATTTTTTCTGTTTTGGTGCTTGGGCCCGTCCTCTGTGGGAGTCGGATTTGTGTGCCGTGTTGTATGGTGGTTTGTTTGTGTGTGTACTGCCATTTTTGTGGTGTGTGCCGGTTCCCTGGTTTCGATGGTTTGCTTTGTACAGATGATTTGCTCTGTATTGATGATTTGTATCGATTGCTTTCACCAATGTGTTGTGTTTGGCGGGCCCCGTCTGGGTGGTGAGGCTATTTTTCATTTGTATTGTTGTCTTGTGCTGTTTCTTTGCTGTGCTTGCATTTGTGTACTGTATTGCACTGTGCGCAGTGTTTGTGTTATTGTGTATGTTCTCTGTTATATGTTCCTGTGCTATGGTGTCTGTTGCTCTTGTGTGTGCAGTTTAGGCTCTTTTTTTTTTTTTGGTGCTTCAGTGCCTTTTATGTTCTACTTAACTATGTTTTACAAATAAAAATAAAAATCGTGACGTCATTCCCAAATGTCTAGGAAAAGCATATAAATACCGGCGCCCAGGTGTCACATTCACTCTTCTCAGGTGCTCCCAGAGTGTAGACATCAGTCAATGACCTGGCAAGGCAGATCATTCTCACGTTGTGGTGTTTTGGTATAGTATTGTAGCAGTGTTGACCAAACCACACACTAGAAAGGTAAGGGACGAAGACGTTTTGGTCCGTCCTGGCCCATTCTCAACTCGATCATTCTCACAATTGACTAGAGAATGGTCCAGGACGGACCGAAACGTCGTCGTCCCTTAACTTTCTAGTGTGTGGTTTGGTCAACATATTTAAGCCACGTTATTGTGACTCCTCGTCTGCATATTATAGCAGTGCTGATTGTATTTTAATTGTCCAACCCGTCCTCAGGCCATGCTCGTTAAAGCAGCGGCCGTCCTGCCCCAGACGCATTCATCAATTTATCACAATGTATTTATACTTTGTTCTCATAAATTAATATTATTATACAATAAAATTCTATGTATAATTGGCGTAGGTTAGGTTTGGTGTTTAAGTTCTGTTGGCGATTATTTGTATTTGAAGTACATGAGTGAAGCATTTATAACATTGTGGTTCAACAACCCGTCCCCGACTCAAGTCCATTACATCCAGCGGTCGACCCCACAGACGCATTCATAAATTTTAATATGCTGTTCATTCAAAACGGGAATTTTCTCAAGTATAAATTAATATTATAATATATTAGCATATTGTGCATATATAGGCATAGGTTAGGTTAGGTGTTTAGGTTCTGTTGGCGATTATTTGTATTTGTAGTACGTGGGTGAAGCATTTATAGAGTTGTGATTCGAACAAAATTCGTCAGTGAAACACTTGTTCCGGATATGTTCGAACGTCAGCAGTTGTGAGTCGTGTGTAAACCGCTTTTCATTCATAAACCAGCCCTTCCTCCAAACAAAGATCCAAAAGTGATTCCATGCACCCGCCAAACCCCCTGTTTATGAATGAAAAGCGGTTTACACACGACTCACAACTGCTGGCGTTCGAACATATCCGGAACAAGTGTTTCTCTGACGAATTTTGTTCGAATCACAACGCTATAAATGCTTCACTCACGTACTACAAATACAAATAATCGCCAACAGAACCTAAACACCTAACCTAACCTATGCCTATATATGCACAATATGCTATTATAATATTAATTTATATTTGAGAAAATTCTTGTTTTGAATGAACAGCAAGTTAAAATTTATGAATGCGTCTGTGGGGGCGACCGCTGGATGTAATGGACTTGAGTCGAGGACGGGTTGCATAAACAGGGGGTTTGGCGGGTGCATGGAATCACTTTTGGGTCTTTGTTTGGAGGACGGGCCGGGTTCAAACAGGTGTCGTCAGCGAAGCACTGTTCGATAAATGTTTGACGTCATCAGTTCTAACACTAACATCTAACCAATGCCTAAATATGCACACTATGCTAATATATAATAATGTTAATTTATATTTGATAAGTTCTGTTTTGAATGAACAGAATGTTAAAATTGATGAATGCGTCTTTGGGGTCGACCGCTGGATAGAATGGACTTGGTCTGAGGTCGGGTTGAAATTGTCTCACTCTTTCCGAGTCTAAAAAAAAAAGTTATTTTTCGATTGATGTTTTTTTCTTATTATACCAAGTACCTGCCAAGTTGTCTGTCAAGTGTTTAGAGTAATTTAATTTATTTTAATTAATTTAATTTGTATTTTACATGAGCATTTTTCTGATACTTTAATTCTTGCCCATCACACTCACACCGTAAAAGTCAGTGCATTGTTTTTTGTTACTGTGGAGCCTAACACCTGCTGGGTATTACCGCAGTAGCTTTTCACGTTAGTGAAAATGTGTATGTACACATATGTATGTGTGACAGGTCTCCCCCCCCCCTCCAGGTCACCCATGGTGTGACCTTTCCCCCCCAGGTCACCCATGGTGTGACAGCCCCCCCCCCAGGTATTATCCCAGGTCACCCACGGTGTGACACATCCCATCATATAACAAATGACATTTTACTAAAAACATCAGTGACAAAAATATACACCATATTTCATAAGTATTGAAAAGGTTCATTACGAGTCAGTGAGTGGCTAGATGAACTAGAGCAGTTCTCCAGTTGGCCAGCAAGAACGCACTCAGTTAACCTACTGTCAACACTTTCCTTCAACTTACCTTAAGGGTAAACGTTTTCGCTCTTCCCGGGGCTCCGGAGTGAGTCGCTGCATGTTACTCTGCAGTCAGCTTGAACTTCCCGACACCATGAAACCTTCAGGAGATGAGGATAATATCAGCGAGAGTATAGAGCAGGAGCGCGCGACCACCCTACACCACGACGGCTCAAGCCACACTGACACCTTGGTTGCCACGCACCATTTGTTACTACCCCGTCTGAATACTCTGAACCCCCCATTCCCCGGAGATTAACACTACTTCCGTAACCAGTACTGTAACCCTTCTCGCTGTATGCTTTTATAACACCAGTGTATTTGATGCACTTGTCGAGTATGTTATGGAAGAATTCAGTTATACGAGAAATGCCCAAATGGCGGAGTATTGCAATATTCACGTTAGGAAATTAATACTAGGATTGACTATGGCCTCGGGTGGCAGCCGGCCAGGAACCTCAACAACAAGAAATATTTATGTGTTGCCTAGTTCTTCCCTCGCCTATGATTTCCAAATTATGGCGCCTATAGCCTAAAGATACGCCCAAGGTTATGATCAATATTAATATAGTGAGCAAAATTATTACAATTCTCTTCATAATTCAATTTAGTAATAATTATTATCACACTACTCGATGCCAGCTTACTGCAGAATAACATCACATCGTCTGACTTAATACTTAAGGAGTTTTTAATAAAAAATTCTAATCGTATTTAAATAAAGTTATCACAATAGATAGAAGCTAAAATATTTTTTCAAACTGAAAATCAAAAAATTATCAGAGTATACTTTGCGAGATTATAGACACAAGCAGCATTGGAAGCAGGATGAACAGTGTGAACTTCGAAGTGTATTAGTTTGTTGAAAGGAGAATTTTCCATGCGGAGGACGGGTTATTAGTAAAAGTTTGGAGTTCAGATATGAAGGGAAGGCAGAGCACAGTGTTGGAAACAGGTTTGAGATGTAAGAAATTTCGATTAGCTTCAGAATAGACTAAACGAGTGAAGGAGAGAGAGTAAGAGTGAGAATGAGAGTAGTAAGGAGAGGAGAGAGATGGCGTGAGAATGAGAGAAAGGGAAAAGACAGAAAGAGCGGAAGAGATAGACCCGGGTACCGCCGATTACCCCCCCATCTAGTACTCTATAAACGTGATAGCTTTTGTAGCGAAATATTGTGCGCATGTTGTTTCAGTCCATGGATGAGTGCGCTTCTTCCTTCTAGTAGAGTGATATAGTCCATTGTCTCGCCAAAGTAATACCCCAAGATAATATAATTCCTCTTTTTGAACAATGAAGTTAAAAACCTTCGGTGAATCGAGGCAAATAAATGAAAATAAAAGGCAAGTAATTATCATAGGACATTACGTCAGTATGGTTATAATAGGACCTCAAAGGCTAAGCTACCGCCAGCTGTGTATATAGGCCCTTAATGCCCTGACGATACGTGTTGTTTGTTGACGTCGCTATTTTGGTAGTCAACACCTGAGGGCCGAGTGGAGGGTGGTCTGGGCCAGGATTCAACAACTATTTACGCATCTACTTACAAATCTGTACATTTTTCTCAATCTTTGGCGGCTTTGTTTACATTTACTAAGCAATTTACAAGAATCGAAACCTGCCAATCAAATGTTATTATTGTTATAAACAGCCTCCTTCGGAACTCATAAACTGTTTAATAAATGTAATAAAGCCACTGAAGACTGAAAAAAGATGTATAGATTCGTAAGTAGTTGAGTAACTCCATGATGAAGCAATTAAATGCGTTTCCAGCTTCCTCTTACGTCCTCTCATAATACTTTCTTATATCTAAATAGGCTGTCCGCCTATTTAAGTATCGAGAAGGCCTTCTCAATTCCCTCTCAGTATCTTGAATGTCGTGATCATCTTCCCTCTGTTTCTGCTGTCCTCAGGGGGTTTGTGAGATCTTGCTCCCTTAACCTATACTCATGGCTGTATAGTCTTCTCAACCTGGCGCTTCTTTTGATAACAACTCATAACTTGGGCACTACTCTTTGAAGGATAGTAAAGACACTGCAAGAATGACCGAAACAACGGAAGGGGATGGTCAAAACTGTGAAGGAATGGTCGAAACACTAGTGGGATGGTCTTTAAAGAAAGATAAATTAGTACGAGAAGACGTAAGTTGAAGCTGGAAATGCAGAGTCGAAGAATTATAAGAAAAGACAGTTGGCTTTGTTCTCGACTCACAGATAGGGATCTCGGGTTCGATTCCCTGGCGGGGCAGAAATGGTTGGATACATTTTCCTTTCGCCTAATGTACCTGTTCACCTAGCAATAAATAGGTACACGGGAGTTAGGCAACTATTGTGGCGTTGCATCTTGGGATGGTCAGTAGTAACACATGACTAACTTCCGGGTACCTATTTACTACTAGATGAACAGAGATATTAGGTGCCCAACTATTTCCGTAGAACCCGGGATTCAAACCCAGGATTCCCAATTGTGAGTCGAGAACTAACGCATCTGTACTACCATTGTACTATAGTAACACTCATTCATCAAGAAAACCTTTCAGTATGAAAAGCTGAATGTATTTTTGTTAACAAACTTGGTAATTTCCTGTTTTCTGTAAAATAAAAAAAAAATCAAGTTTTCCACAGATCTGCCTCGTATTACATAAACAAAGACTAAATTTATATAAAACAAGACGCTACAGTGCGTTACTTTTTATTTCTAGGCGACTAGATATATGATGACAGCAATCACATGTTAATTGTAGAGGTGGGAATTAATGACCTTTGGCGAGTATCATCGAATTAAGCGTTCAAGTACCGTTGAACTGAAGCCAAAAAGAGTGATGACCACACATCGCATTACAGAAGCCTCCTGGTCATGTTTATCTCGTTACAGGACCTTTGTGACTACACTTATCTCGGTACAGAAGCCTCATGGCCATCCTTATCGTATTACAAAAGCCTCCTGGTCATACTTATCTCGTTATAGGAGCTTTGTGACTACACTTATAACCAGCATGACCAGGAGAAGCCTCCTGGTCATGCCTATCTCGTTACAGGAGCTTTGAAACTACACTTATCTCGGTACAGAAGCCTCATGACCATGCTTATCGTATTACAAAAGCCTCCTGGTCATGTTTATTTCGTTATAGGAGCTTTGTGACTACACTTATAACCAGCATGACCAGGGAGAAGCCTCCTGGTCATGCCTATCTCGCTACAGGAGCCTCATGGCCATCATGCTGTAGAAGACGACGAAGGTGAGGACAACAAGAAGAATGACGACGCCAAACATGGTGTTGTAGCGACCTGCCACCTCCTCCCCGGACGGCTGCTGCTGTTGCCCTGTTTTGTTGCCTTCCACTCTCAGTGACGTCACCAGGGTCTAACATTTAAAAAGCTCATAATAATGATTATAGAAATAAACAATAATAATAGTCTATTTGAATGTTTTGCAAGTAAACCTTTGTCCTAAACAGATAATATTCTCACGTTATAGCTTCATTGTGTTATAATTCGTTGGTTTAAAATGTCTATACTTTACTCGTTTTCTTTGAAACGGTCTGAAGAATTCGGTTTTCTGTAAATTAAATTATAGGGGGATACTGAAATTGTTTTCGAATTTCATATAATTAATATTTCACATTTGAGATTAATGCACTATATTAACGTTATCAAACCTAACGTAATTTAGCCAAAGATAGGAAGTAGATAATCGCACTAATTACATAGTGGTTTTGAAGTGATTACCTCTGGGGTACCGCCTCTCTGAGGACAGGTTGGAATGGCATGCGAGAAAGACAATGTTGTAAGTTCTTTACCTTGTCACCTGGCAGCTGGAGCGAGCGTAGACCCACAACCCAAAGGACAAAAGGTGGTAGTCTGATGCTGTTGAAGATCACATTGATCACGGTCTGGATAATGACAATGACGAAGCAAAACGTGATGATAGAAGCGTACCACACGTCGATGAGCTTGAGGTAAGGCGTCTTGACTGAGGACTGCGTGGTGGATGTGAAGAGAGCAGCAAGGACCAACTGGGCCGTCAAAGACACCATGATCCGGTTCTCGAAGTCCTCCAGCTGTTCCGCCCAACACCCACACGAAACAGTCCAGTGTCTCTTAATTATCTCGATGATGATTGATTGGAAAAGATTAAGCCACCCAAGAGGTGGCACGGGCATAAATAGCCCGTAATTAATTATCTCATGCGTGACTAAACTCTATATCTCTCTTATGTGTTTGCCTGACTACTTATATTTAAGTTATATACACATTATTATATATGTCTGCATACTTATTTGTCGATATTACTATGCAAAATTATATTTATAAGAAAATTCCTTCAAATGATATGAGTGAAGCTGATTTGTCCGTATTTGCAATACTGAATATATTAATATAACTAAATAACAATTCTATTGTACTTATTATATACATTTATTTACTCGTTCAAGAATTAACGTCTACCTTCCATCTCCATGACATATACCTCATAGGTTCCTGACAACTCGAATGCTCAAAAGTAAACAGCTCATAAAGGAATTCCAGAAGAGACAGATAGAAAGTTTGTTCGCTCAACAGGTCGAGATTAAGTCAAGCAATCACATCACATGAAGGCTCTAGCGCACAGTTAGCCACTGGCTCATCTTGTTCCTTATATGATAGTAACTTAGATTTAAATAAAGTTTATTCCTTATGATTCAAATAATAATCTCATGAAACAAATGAATCTCTAGGGACAGGCTTCAGATGAACTGAGGTAGGATAACAGCTCTAGCTTGCAGTTTCACTAGGTACCTCAATTTACAACCATAATGAACCCTAGTCTTAGTAAAAAAAAAAAAAGAGGCAGAAGACGGTGGGAACTAGTAGAGTACGACTTACCAAGAACTCTTTAGAGTAACTGAACTCTTAGATTTAGAGAAAGCATAACACAATCGACTTGAGAATGGTCCAGGACGGACCGAAACGTCGTCGTCCCTTCACTTTCTAGTGTGTGGTCTGGTCAACAAGCCTTAAGACTGCTGACAAGTCACAAGTCGTCTACTCCTGTACCTAGCTGTGTAAAAATAAAAGTGTCACCTGGAAGAAGAGCGTGCCGTAGGCGATGAAGAACATAAGGAGGCTGGGGAAGAAGCTGTTGACGACGTGGTAGCCGTAGAGGCGGCTCAGATGGAAGGTGAGCACGAAATAGGTGTTGTTGTCGGTGCCCTGCAGGAACCACCCGACCTCCGTCGTCAGGTCCTTCAGCTCGTACTCCAGCAGCACCCGACGCTGCCACCCCGCCAGGGTACACCAGCAAGACCAATAGAACCAAGTACACAGATGAGAAAAAAAAGGTAACAGGAGCAATAACAAGAAACGATAAATAGCAAGAAAATATGAATAATAAAACATATCTAAGACCAACAGTAAGGAGGAGCAATGTAGATTATTTGCAACTCACTCCGTTCTTTACTCGAAGAATCCAGCCGTGTGAGTACTAAGCCAATTTGTCGCACTCAGTTTGATTTTAGTACAAATGATTTGAGTTCTGTGATATGTATTCACTGGACCTGTGAGCCCCATGAAGAACTTGAGTACAAAAGGGTAGAAATAGCCTAAGCTACTCTATCCTATTGAGATGTATATTATGGTCTCGATGGCAAACGACTGGTGATTGGACATTTGATTTCCCCCCAAAAATTACAACAATTCTAGAAGAGTTAATACTTCCATGCATAATGTAGTGAAGAACTATCATGAGGAGAATCTTGCAGGTCAAACTGACATCTTCATATGCAATTCAAAAAGTTAATATTTTAAAATATAGTTTAGAGTTAATATCTTGAGACATGATTTAGTCTTAATATCTACAAACATAATTTAAACTTAATATATTTAAGAATCATTAACGAAATAAAATTATTGATATATAATTTATTCATTTAACATCTTTAAAGTGAAACTCAACATGTCAGTCAGCCTAAGAACTGTCACCGAGGTCCATAACTCACAGAGTCCAGGTAAGGAACCCTCTCTCCCTTCTGAGACTTGTTGAAGACTCTGGTCCAGGGGGCGTTCATGAGCATGAAGGAGATGTTGCAGAGCTGGAAGTCGAAGGGGTACATCTGCAGCTGGAAGTGGCAGGGCACAGACGCCACCACACCCACATAGTTGTAGATGGCGTGAGTCGACCCGTCCGCCTGGTGGCCTGTACGGGGGAACGTCCCCAAGTCCAAGTGAGGAAAACTTATTCGAGAAGTGTTTAATTAACATTTAATCAAAATTAGATCTGTATTTAATGAACATTAGATGAACGTCTCATCAACATTATGTCAACGTTTAATTAATATTCTGTGGCGCGGGTTCGATTCCCGCACGAGGCAGAAACAAATGGACAAAGTTTTTTTCACCCTGAATGCCCCTGTTACCTAGCAGTAAATAGATACCTGGGAGTTAGTCAGCTGTCACGGGCTGCTTCCTGGGGGTGGAGGCCTGGTCGAGGACCGGGCCGCGGGGACACTAAAAAGCCCCGAAATCATCTCAAGATAACCTCAAGATATATTAGATCAATGTTTCTTCGACGTTAGATCAACGTTTCACTAACAATAAATCGATGATTAATAGACGTTGATTCACTGTGTATTAAAACCGTTTGCCTGGATTTTCCCAGGGCGGTAGGTGAATACATTCCAATTGGTGGAGGTACAAGAAACTTGCAAGCCTTCCCTCCCTTCCCCTACTAGCCAACGTTGATATCAAAGATACAACCTACAACAGAAGATTAAAATAATGATTAAAGTACCTAATTACTATCAGAACAAAAGTATCAGGTATAATGAGATGTGCCCAAACGTCTTTGCCTGTCCGAGAATCAAACCCTGGACCAGTCGGTTGAGATTTGATCAATCCATCCAGCCTTACACATACCTAATTATTAAGGGTGTGTGGACGTTTAGATACACAAGTGGATGGTCAGCGAAGCAGGTGGATGAAAATATAGGAAAATGGGTTGCTTTGGTGGGTAAATTGTCCAAAAATAAGATTGAAAATGTTGGTAAATGTCTGGCCAGATAATTTGGTGGCTAGGTAAGCAGCTGTGTTGAAACATTATCTTGCTCATTGAGTTCACATTATCTCTTGCTCAGATTTGGGGCTTCCTGACAGGACTCTGACCTTCAACAGTCATTCCTCATAAACACTGGCCAAGTGGTCGTTAATCCTGCAGCAGCGTCCACCTTGTTTATACTGTATATTGAAAACACTTTACACATGTCTCACAATAGACTATATTAGATCTTTTCTTGAACAACGCTTCCCTCATTTCCTTTAATGGAATCACTGCACATTTCTAAATGATTCAGTACTCACGTACAATAAATACTATAATTACTAATTTAACCTATCCTAGGCATATCTATGTATATAATTATATGAATTTATGAGACAATACTACTTTTTTATTACAAAGCAGGTTAATGTTTATGACCGAATGTTTAGTGCGGCGTCGGCATGGGTGAGTTAAGCCTGAGGATGGGTTCAAATATTCCCACCGACTCACACCCATGCTAATGCAACTTCGCGTAAAACCAGAGTATACTAAATATTAATTTATATATGAGAATTTTTTTTTTTTAAGAACATGATAGAAATTAACATTTGCAAACTGCGCCTTTTGAGGACAGGCGCAGTTTGGCCGACCATGGCTTGACGTAAGTTTTATGGATGGCTTGACGGTAAACAAGTTTCAATAACAATCTTAACATCTGCTGAAGCTCTAGCCTTCACTAGGCATAATAATCAGGCGTAGCAACTAATACGTGTAATTCTCATCAACTCACTCATGAAGGGATCATGGAGGGGCCTGTGAGTGTTCTCATCAGCGTAGGCGTAGCAGAACTTCTCATAGTTGCTGGTCTCCAGGACTGTGCCCTCACCGTGGCCTGAGACGGCTCGAACACTCGGGGTCCACACCAGTTCACAGGGGAAGTAATTCTTGACTTCGGGCTTCAGGTTCAGAAATTTCAGTCGAGAGTCAAACCATGTGAGCGTCATCCCCACGTTCATCGTCGCCTTGCCGCCCTCGGTGGTCATGTCGTCCATGCTGTACACATCGACGTGGTAGAAGAGATTCATTGGTTTCTCTTCACGTGGTCGTGGGGGCGGAGGGTAGTAGGGGTCGTATCCAGACAACCTGTCTATCACTCGACAGTTGGTCTCGTCCGACCTGTCGCTACACTGGACAATATCATCGCAGCGAGAGGTGAGGGGCACGCACTGGCCGGTGTCGCAGGTGAACTGTGTGGTGCGGCAGGTGGTGAGGGCGAGCAGCACTTTGTCTGGCCCTCCAAGCCACCACTGGCGGCCCACAGGCACCGCAGCCTCTCCCAGAACCCACTCCATCTGGTGCAGCACTGATCTCAACACCCACCCATTGCCCACACGAACTATTTCTGACCCTCCGAGACCTCTGAATATCAGCTCGCCACTAACTACGTCTATGTAGAAATTATAATCAAACAGTCTTCCGTCATGACCATAAAGAGTATACATGACCGTCGAGGGCAACTGGCAGAGGGAACACTTCAACTGTCTTACACATGCGGCAGATATCCCTCCGTCAGTGCCCTGGGCAGGGCACTCATCTTCTGCCGTGATCTGTGTTGTTGCACCACGACCTTCCTTGCCTCCCAACAACCAAGTCACCAGCCCGCCGGAGCCCACACACGAGTCGTTGGTGCCACGCGCTAAGACCATGACTTCAGAGGTGAGACCCTCGCTAGTCATGAGTCTGCCACCCAGAGCTTGGCACACCATCACATGAAAGGCGTATGACCTTGCCGGCCGGACCACAACTACCCACATCAAGGAGCGACACACTTCGTCTAGCCTGTATGGCCCCAGAGTAACATTACCAGCAGCCAACCACAGCGGACCCATCGCCATGTAGGGGTCTTCCATAGCCAGACTTCCCCGACACCCCGAGGCTTGGGATAGCACATCCTTTCCAAATGTCATCCTCCACAGTGCTGCTCGAGCCACCTCAGCCTCCAGGGTGCCACGGTGGCCTCCGCCCACACACATCTCTCCGATCATCACAGGTTGTGGCGCCTGGTCCTTCCCAACACCTGGCCTGTCACTGCTTCTGGTTGAGCTGAGTTCATCTGCTGTTATCCATTCGGCGTTGCCACCGTCTTCGAGTACTAAATCATTCTTATCAGAAGCTCCTGAAGCTTCTCCTCCCTCTGTCACTTCGAAGTCAGCAGAGAGGGGCTCACTTGCGTCGTCCACGAAGCAAACAGCCTAGGCAAGAGATAATGAGATAATAAAAACAAAATAATGACAAGAGATAATAAACAAATAAAGATAAAGCTCGTTTCAATCAAAGACCTGACTTTCTTTCAATAACTAATTGTTTTATTCATACAAAAATAATATATCCACGAAAAACTTTCCTCTTGACGCATGATAAAGGTTGTTACCTGTTGATAAAATTCACACTGGGCTCACCTGGCGTTTGAGGTGGTCGAACTGGACACACAAGTGGCGCCAGACGTCAGGAGGAAATTTAGCCTCGAAGAAGTAACTGAGCACCGCGCCCGGGGCCGTCTCCTGCACCCGCAGCGCCACCCCCAGGCGGGTCATGTCTGCGCCGCACGATTGCCAGTCAGGGCAAGAGTTCAGCGCATCTCAAGTGTCGTGTCATGTACGCTTGAGAAGCTCTTTCCAGTACCAAACTTAAGAGTGGTGTGTGGCTCTTACCAGCACCAAACATAAGAGTGGTGTGTGGCTCTTACCAGCACCAAACATAAGAGTGGTGTGTGGCTCTCACCAGCACCAAACATAAGAGTGGTGTGTGGCTCTCACCAGCACCAAACATAAGAGTGGTGTGTGGCTCTCACCAGCACCAAACATAAGAGTGGTGTGTGGCTCTTACCAGCACCAAACATAAGAGTGGTGTGTGGCTCTTACCAGCACCAAACATAAGAGTGGTGTGTGGCTCTTACCAGCACCAAACATAAGAGTGGTGTGTGGCTCTCACCAGCACCAAACATAAGAGTGGTGTGTGGCTCTTACCAGCACCAAACATAAGAGTGGTGTGTGGCTCTCATCAGCACCAAACATAAGAGTGGTGTGTGGCTCTCACCAGCACCAAACATAAGAGTGGTGTGTGGCTCTTACCAGCACCAAACATAAGAGTGGTGTGTGGCTCTTACCAGCACCAAACATAAGAGTGGTGTGTGGCTCTCACCAGCACCAAACATAAGAGTGGCGTGTGGCTCTTACCAGCACCAAACATAAGAGTAGTGTGTGGCTCTTACCAGCACCAAACATAAGAGTTGTGTGTGGCTCTTACCAGCACCAAACTACACTACAAGTATGACCAACACTGATCCAGTTAATAGAATTAAGAACAGGTTAACATAAATTTTAAACGCATTTAACGAAATCTACTTAGAATGTGCTTGTAAATCTACATGGGAATGGCCGTCAGAATCTACTTGGAATGTACGTGTAAATCTAATTGGAATGTACGTGTAAATCAACTTGGGAAATATATCTAAATCTACTTGGGAAGTACTTGTCAATCTACTTGGAATGTGCATGTAAAGCTACTTGGAATGTACTTGTAAATCTATTTGGAATGTACGTGTCAATCTACTTGGAATGTACGTGCAAATCTACTTGGATTGTGCATGTAAAGTTACTTGGAAAGTACGTGTAAATCTACTTGGAATATACATGTACATCTACTTCGAATATACATAAAAACCCAATAAAATTCATGCTTTTTGCATATAACAATTTTCATTTGCCCTTCAGACGGCAATATTAACGGACAAAAGTAAAAGATTGCCTATTGCGCTCTCATATAGTTAATGGACTGACTGATAATCTTATAAACTATATTTAGTTGCCTTCACAATTTAACTCCGTACCTTCAAAACTGTAATTAACTAAATGGTGACTATTTATGAACAGACCATGACTGTTTAATCAACGATATTTAACTGTGAATAATACAATAACTAATCGTATCATTGAAAAACTAATAGTGATTGAATATCATTGAAAAATTAATAGTGGCTGACTAATTAACTAACCGACTTACTGGTTAAGTAATTAACTATATGACAGGTTGATTGATTAATTACCATTTAGACTGAGCTACTCACCTAGAGCGACTGTCCAGTTCCTCCCAACGTAGGTAAACAGAGGGGATCGTAGTCGACTCTTGGACATCTTGACAAAGGCGCAGAAGGTAAAGGACGTCAGGTTGGTATTTGGTCCTTTGGATGACGCAATGCTGCTGTCAATACGTTGGAGAGATGACTCAGAACCATCAGCAGAGCCAGCAGAACTACTGTCGCTTCCAGTCGCAGCAGCAGCAGTGCGAACACCACCACCATCTCTCGAGGGAGGAGGAGGGCCACGAAGAGCAGCAAAAGCAGGAGGGCTGCACACCAGTGAGAAACCCGGCCCGAGCACTGCCCCAGCTACCACTTCCTCACCTGCTGGGGAAACGTTGTGTTGTTTAAGATTCAGCTACTGGGAACAACATGTTCCAAGTAGCACGGGCTATGGTGAGCCCGTAGTGGACTTAACTGGCACAGGAGCGGGGCTGTGGCTCCCTACTGGGGAAACACCTGGGCTGTGGTCAGCTGTAATATACAATCTTGTGGGGATATGTACCCATACATGGCCATACATTATTTATTATGTTATATACCTTGCACTACGTGCCTACAATGAGCACCTAAACGGTTGCGAAAAAGCCTGAATGGTCCCCAGGACTATATGTGACTGAACCTATACAGTTATATTCAAAACCTGCACTACAATCAGTCTACATACGTATACTATATACCTACACCATACACTTTATCTACGTAACCTTATACATCATTATTCACCTATACTATCACAGAGATGTCACTGTAAAGAATTCATTAATAATCACTAACCGATATATAAGTACAATTACAATAGTTTCAAATGGGTAAAACAAACCAAATTTTAATGAAATTATATATTAAAAAATTTATTATGGAAGTATAAAGTTTCCCATTCCTTTATACATGATTTGATTTTTTATAGATAAAACATAGAAGTTTGATCGAACCTGACGTAAGGTAAGCCATTAAATTAATGAGAGGTGGGGGAGTTAATGAATTAATCCTCTCAGATCAAAAGGTGGGAAGTAATGAACAATGTATGATAAAGTATAATAAGAGAGCATATATGAGTACCTTGTGTTCTAATGTTATAAAGTATGATGTTATTCCAGAATGTATTGCTTTGCTTAAGAGACAATTCACACCACCATGGGAGGATTGTAACGTAGATGTAGTAATTGTTCCCAAGCAAAAGAACAAAGTATGTATGAGATAGGAGAGCTGAGGGCAACATATGATTATATAATTAGAAAACTACCTACAGAAAACACTACATGAATATTGTGATGGGTCAGTAGCTAGGGATGGGAAGGCAGGATGTGGAGTCTTGATCAGGGAGTACACTGACATCGGCACTGAAGATACTGTTATTGGACGCCGCTTAACTGACAATGTCTCTTCAACGCAGGCTGAACTCCAAGGTGTATTAGCAGGATTACAGGAAGTAGTCAAATGTGGTAAAAGGCCTGTTTCTTTATTGACAGTAGAGGAGCGGTAGAGTCTTTAAATAGCAGACGCCCAGTATACCAGAATGTTGTGATCGAGTGTAGAGAGAATGTTAAGAAATGAGAAAAAATTGGGTATAAAGTAAGATTCATATGGATCCCTTCACAAGTGGGAATACTGTTAAATGAGGCAGTTGATGAGATAGCGAAGAGAGCCTCGAAAAAAAACTCTTGTCGATGTTGTAAGTCAGATAACTTTGAAGCAAATAAAAGCAAGAATCAAGATGATCCAGGAGGGTGAAGAAAAGGTTAAGAGTATGGCAACGGTGGACAGCAGTAACACACTTAAGAATTATGCAATAATAAATACAACTTCGTCCTTCACTTATGGAAAAGGAAAGTCTACTTGGAAGGATTCAATTTACACGAGATTAAGATTAGGATACAAATATATCTGGCAATACTGTGTTGATGTCAGTGAAAAAGATAAGGAGTGTAAATTATGTAGTATGCCGCAAGCCCACACCTTAGAACATTATGTATTAGAGTGTCAACTTATTAAAAACTATAGAAATAAGGAAATAAGTAGTGTACCACATCAAATTGTTTAGATGTATGATAATGGTATGATAGACAGAATACTTAGGAGCAACAAGCATTTTGCCCCAAGAGTGTAACACTTATATGCTGTGATTACTGTATTAACCTGCAATGTTAAATGGGATTCTTGTAATGTTATTTGTCTATTTGTACGACCCTTGAGGGACTTGAAGTAGAGGGGGTAGAAATAGTCTAAGCTACTCTATCCCTTTGAGATGTATTTTCTTGTTTCAATAAACATACTTGAACTTGAACTAACCTAACCTGATATAACTCAGTAATTCACGTTCCTAATATAATAATATTAATTGGAATAAACCAATTAGCAAAGAAATATTTGAAAATAACGAAAATCAGTGTTTGTTAGGCAGATCGGGCCTTGCATACTATGCCAAGTGGCGCAGTTCAAGCTAATTATTTTTCTTTATTAAATAATATATAATATAAAGATCATAATTTACATCAATTTACAAGGGAAAATGCTACAACGCTATTAGATACGATACTGTATATTATTTTTCAATTGTGGTATTAAAAACATTAATATTTTTTTATCAGGCTTTCTAAAAAAAAAAAATCATATACTTCAATCTCTCCCTGTTGTACTTTAGGTAATAGTAAAGCAATAAATATACACGCAAATCAACAACAGGACTTTTTCTTGATCTTAAAAATTGTCATTATACTCCCGGCTGTCTAGTATACAGTACATATCTGGCAGAGCTTCCAACAAGACATGTACTCTGGCCCTCTCTAATGCCTTATCATCGGTCAATTACACAGCAACTGCTTAAATATACTTATTTATCGCATCCAGTGTAGGGAAACGTTTTCAAACGTTAAAGCGCGTCTGGGATCCTCTCGGACGTAGGTTCGAACCCTCGTCAAGTCCACGGCCCTTATGGATTTGTTCGTCTCCTTCTTGCACGGGAATCGAACCCAACGGCAGCCAGGGGATTTTATTGTGATCGTACTTTGCTGAGAAGGTGAGATCAACTCACCCAGGGTGGTAGTGACCATGAGTTGATGTGAGGCCCAGGCGAGGAGGCAGATTACGCCCGCTAGACTACGCTTTGGCCCCATCATCTTGCATACTCACATGGGCATCTGCTGGCTAAAGATAACAATATATATAACGATGATTGCAGTACGAGAGGAAAACAAATGCAAGAATGAATTTGTTTAAACACTGAAAAGGCAGACTACGCCTGCTAGGCTACGGGAAGCCCCTCCATCATATTGGTTATCAAATTGGCACCTGGGACCTTGAAGATAAATAAATATATTCAAGGTTGATTCCAGTATGAGAATAAAATAATACAAGAATGATCTGATTAAACTATGAGTAAAATAAAGGAGCAGAAGAAATAAATATGCAAGAAGGTTAAATTAACACGAGTTAAAAAAAACAGTGCCTCGGAAACATGAATTCTAGTTATCTTAAAACCACTGATGATAACCCGGTGAGGCAGAAAGCTTTGTGTCTCGCTGTATACTGTCGAGGGAGTGGTCGTGAGTACTTCACACAATATGCTGAATAAAATGAATGTATATATGTTGGTTAGCACTGCAAATGAATGGCCACATCTGAGGGAAATAAACTTAAAAAAAACTATACTGACGAAGGAATGATTGCTGCGTACCTCTCATATTATACTGACGAGGGAGTAGCACCTGTCACTCTATACTGGCGCAGGAGTAACCGCTGAGAACCTTTCACTCTCTATACTGGCGTAGGAGTGGCCGCTGAGTACCTCTTGCCAGTATTATATCAGCAGAAAACATATTGATTATTTGTCTCCCACTGAGTTCTTACTCCATAAATTACGTTCCTTCACTAGTGATGCCTAGTTAAAAATCACGTTACCACTAAGTTACGTTCCCTCAAAAGTTACTTTCTTTCAAACTGCCCGTCCTAAGCCGCAATAGCCCGTCCTCATATACAAAGGCCAAAGTCCATTCCATGCACCCGCCAAACCCTCTGTTTATGAATGAAAAACGGTTTACACACGACTCACAACTAATGACGTTCGAACACTTCCCGAACATGTGTTTCGCTAACGACTTTTGTTCGAACCACAACGCTGAAAATGTTTTACCCAAGTACTACAAATACAAATAATCGCCAACAGAACCTAAACGCCTAACTTAACCTAATCGATGCCTAGATATGCACAGTATGCTAAAAAACAATATTAATATATATTTGATAAAATTCCTATTTTGAATGAACAGCATGTTAAAATGTATGAAGCGTCTTCGGAGTCGACAGCTGAATGGACAACCGGTCCTCGACTCAAGTCCATTCCATTCCATTTCATCCAGGTTCTGTTGCGATTATTTGTATTTGTAGTACGTGGGTGAAGCATTTACAACGTTGTGCTTCGAACAAAATTCGTTTTTGAAGCACATATTCAGGAATTGTTCGAACGTCATCAGTTGTGAGTCGAGTGTAAACCGTTTTTCATTCATAAACAGGGGGGGTTTGGCGGGTGCATGGAATCACTTTGGAGTTTTTGTTTGGAGGATGGGCCGGGATGGAATGAACTTGAGGACGGGTCGCTGTAAATGCTTCACCCGTGTACTACAAATACAAATAACTAGAAACAGAACCCCAAGCGCCAAAACTAACTAAACCTAACACTAACTATAAATATAGAACTTTAACGTATACTGTAATAATATTAACTTCATATGAGAACAAACCTAGTTTTGATAAACAGTATGTAAAAAATTGATGCGTGTAACTTAGGGTGGGGAGAAGGTTGGCCGCCGCTTTAACGAGCCTGGCCTAAGGACAGGTTGTAGCCACAAGTCCTTTTACCTTCTTGAAGATTAGTCGGCGTTCGATAAATGAAAAAATAAATCATAGCAGCATTCCGCTGTGTAAACCTGGGAGAGAACCTCGTCTGTCATTGTTGGCAACTTTGGGAGTGTTGGTGGAGCCTGATCCTGCCTCATTCATTAAGTCTTGTCAGTGCATTAAATCTGTCAGCGAATGAGGCAGGCAAGCATTTAGTGTATACACAGGAGTCAAGGTTCCAACGAATGAGCAGAAAGGAGAGTGAGGGACTTTTTCAAAAGGTTTCTCACAAAAGGAAACACACACACACACAACTAGGTAAGTATACACACGCACACACACACACACACATACACACACACACACACACACACACACACACACACACACACACACACACACACACACACACACACACACACACACACACACACACACACACACACACACACACACACACACACACACACACACACACACACACACACACACACACACACACACACACACACACACACACACACACACACACACATATAAGAAAATTCACCTTCGCAAATAGAGTGGTAGACGGTTGGAACAAGTTAAGTGAGAAGGTGGTGGAGGCCAAGACCGTCAGTAGTTTCAAAGCGTTATATGACAAAGAGTGCTGGGAAGACGGGACACCACGAGCGTAGCTCTCATCCTGTAACTACACTTAGGTAATTACACACACACACACACACACACACACAAAAGAACGTCTTAGTCACCTCGAAAAACCATGACTGAGCCGGTTTTTCTACATCAGCTTCTAGCTACATCAAAGCGTTTGACCCTCCAGGATACGTTGTCAGTTTTTATTCCAGATAAAGAGAGCGTCAGTAAACGATTACAGATATAAAAACAAGAATTATATAATGAGGTCGCCAGGCTACAAAGGTACGTGTATAAAATTTATAAACCAAAGAGAATTTCGATATGTTCAGGACACACAGAGAGACACACAGACAGAAAGTTAATGTTTGTGTTGACATATCTGATGGGTCAGGTGGTTAATGTTTGGGTTGACATCAGTTCAAGTATGTTTATTGAGACAAGAAAAAAATACATCTCAAAGAGATAGAGTAACTTAGGCTATTTCTAACCCCCCCCCCCCGCCCCCTCCCCCTTGGGTTGACATTCTCGTGGGTCAGATGATTAACGTTTGGGTTGACACTTGTGGGTCAGGGGGTTTAATGTTGGGTTGACGTTCATTTCTTTCGCCGATTGATGACAGCAATGTTGTGCCAGAGTGTCAATGCTGAAGGCTTGAGAGCCTATTCGACTTTGGCAGTACTTAAACAAGTTTTCTATGCACCCGATGAGACGATAAGTTCAGTGGACAAAAATTCTTGTAACACCAGACTGGTGTTGACAACGGCTGTAAAACGGCCGAAACGTTCATCTTCCTTTCCAATTTCTTTGTGGATTTTCCGCATTCAAATGATCAGTGTTTCGTGATTGTCAATTGTATATATATATATATATATATATATATATATATATATATATATATATATATATATATATATATATATATATATATATATATATATATATATATATATATATATATATATATATATATATATATATATATATATATATATATATATATAAGCCTATACTTGCATAAACTACAAGTGAAGATTAATAATCTTTGGACAACACCCACCAGTGGGTGGGTGTTGTCCCATTAATAATTATAATTATTAATTAATATTAATAATATTAATAATAATATATTAATTAATAATTAATAACATTAATTCATGAAAACTTGGCTTATTAGGCAAATCGGGCCTTGAATAGTAGGCTGAGAAGTGCATTCTGGCTATTAGGTACGACATATATGTATATATATATATATATATATATATATATATATATATATATATATATATATATATATATATATATGTCGTACCTAGTAGCCAGAACTCACTTCTGAGCCTACTATGCAAGGCCCGATTTGCCTAATAAGCCAAGTTTCCATGAATTAATTGCTTTTCGACTACCTAACCTACCTAACCTAACCTAACCTAACTTTTTCGGCTACCTAACCTAACCTAACCTATAAAGATAGGTTAGGTTAGGTTAGGTAGGGTTGGTTAGGTTCGGTCATATATCTACGTTAATTTTAACTCCAATAAAAAAAAAATGACCTCTTACATAATAAAATGGGTTGCTTTATCATTTCATAAGAAAAAAATTAGAGAAAATATATTAATTCATGAAAACTTGGGTAATTAGGCAAATCGGGCCTTGCATTGTAGGCTGAAAAGTGAGTTCTGGCTACTAGGTACGACATATATATATATATATATATATATATATATATATATATATATATATATATATATATATATATATATATATATATATATATATATATATATATATATATATATATATATATATATATATATATATATATATTTGCAGATTGCCTATTAGCCCATATTTCTTGATGCTTCTATATTGGAGCGGAGTTTTGAAGTGGGTAGAATATAGTTGTGCATTAATTGGCTGTTGATTGCTGGTGTTGACTTCTTGATGTGTAGTGCCTCGCAGATGTCAAGCCGCCTGCTATCGCTGTATCTATCGATGATTTCTGTGTTGTTTGCTAATTACCCAAATGCAGGTATAAAAAATCAAAGATGTTTAAGCTCTATTCAGTTATAGTTGTGTGTGTGTAAACTAAAGTCTTTGAAAATGTAATAAGTTTTACGAAATGCGCTCAAGTGTCGCGTCTTCTTTTCATTAGCAAACAACACAGAAATCATCGATAGATACAGCCATAGCAGGCGGCTTGACATCTGCGAGGCACTACACATCAAGAAGTCAACACCAGCAGTCAACAGCCAATTAATGCACAACTATATTCTACCCACTTCAAGACTCCGCTCCAATATAGAAGCATCAAGAAATATGGGCCAATAGGCCCTCTGCAATTACTTCCATTATCACCTTCAATATATATATATATATATATATATATATATATATATATATATATATATATATATATATATATATATATATATATATATAGATTTTCTGATTTTTGTCTGTAGGGATAACGTTCCTATTAACAATTGACGATTTACTATAAAACCAAAAAAACGGCCAATCTACTCATGAAAAACTCTCCAGACACAAAGCAGAAAGCTTTAAAAGAGACCAATGTCGTCTATGCCTTTAAATGCCCACTTGAGAACTGTAAGCTCCAAAGAACTCAGTATATAGGCAAGACAACAACATCTCTTTCCAGGCGATTAACAATGCATAAGCAACAGGGCTCCATTAAGGAACATATAATCTCTTCCCACAACCAGACCATCACCAGAGAAGTCTTAACAAACAACACAGAAATCATCGATAGATACAGCGATAGCAGACGGCTTGACATCTGCGAGGCACTACACATGAAGAAGTCAACACCAGCAGTCAACAGTCAATTGATGCACAACTATATTCTACCCACTTCAAGACTCCGTACCAATATAGAATATACATTAGTGGCTTTAGGTTTTGTATGTACTAGCTCTATCTTTAAATGCAACATTATGTTTGTAACTCATCTTCAATGTATATACCTTTACCTGAATGAAAAATCTAAATCTATGTGTGTGTGCAGGCGCGCGCGAGAATGCCTAAGTTGACCTCGGTTATGAACCTTTCTATGTTTCTCCGTTTTCTCTCACTGTTTTCTTCACACAGTTCTTTCTGTTACGATCCCGTGTACTTATCTAATTCACTTAGCTGCGCTCGGCTAGTTCATCTAGCTGCGCTCGGCTAGTTCACCTAGCTGCACTCGGCTAGTTAACCTATCTGAGCTCAGTTAGTTTACCTAGATGAGCTCTGCTAGTTTACCTAGCTGGGATCTGCTAGTTTATCTA